GTATTGATTCCCAAAATAAGGGACAGGTCCCTCCTGTGAGGCGTTCTGTCATTGGGTGTCTAAATTTTTTATTCTTGTTCAAGTATTTAGCTTTTTTTTTTTTTTTTTGCATTTAGTCTTTTCTGACTAAAAGAGACGAGCGTTCGATCCAAGCCAACACTGGTGACCAGTTGACCAGTTGACCAGTAGGAGGAAGGGTCTCCGAGGTTCACCGGGAGGTCACTCAGCCCAGACGCTACCAGAAATAAATGTAATAACAAGCATCGTGTGAGGTAATTATTCAAAATAAAATGTCACCGACACGGACGCCGCGCATCGTCATCGCTCTTTAAAAAGCCGACGGGACATTTGTTTTTGCTTTTACACCTGATTTAGACAGAAAAGTCATGAGGGGCAGAAATGCAGAGAACATGAGCCCAGCTGAACGGTTTCAGCCAAATTATTTTAGGACATGAGATCAGGCGTTTAGAAGAGAAAGGGAGACGGAGCCGAGAGGAGGAGAATCCACCAGCTCACTTCACATCGTTGGACAAACTCACTCAAAGAGCTTGTTCTCCAAGTCACCACCAGGGTCAGAAGGTCAGAAGGTCAGAAGGTCAGACGACAGATGTTGACGATGACTGCAGGGACACATCTGTCTGGGTCTCCTCAGTTTTAGAGTCACATATTTTTGCTAATTTTTAAGTGTTTTTTTATTTTATTTATTTATTTTTTCTTTGTTCGTTAAAGCATGAAAGGCAGAACAATTAAATTCTCTTCTGCTAGGGGGCAGTGTTTGCCTATGAAAACTAAAAAAAAATTGAAGAAGATCTCTGTGAGTCTCTTTCTTCAATTCCTGCCAGTTTATCAGTGTTGTCTTCAACTAAACAGACTGAGGTTTTAGGTCATTTAAACCAGAAGATTATTAGATTTTATTACAGAGACTTTTGGTCTGATCTTAGATTATTGGTTTGTCGTGGGGTTTGGTGATGTTTGGAGATGTTTATATGTCAGACATGTAGAGGAACTCCTCTGAGATCTTCAGGAATAATTCACCTTTTTGACCAACGCTCGTGTCTGACTTCTGGACCATGAACTGATCTGATCTGACGGAGCAGACTTCGTGTGAGAACGGTTCCTCCACAGATCATCTGATTAATTGATGAACCTTTTACTGCATCAACACTGACTGCTGTTAGTCACTCACACCGCAGGCCTGCAGGGGGCAGGGCAGTGGTTGACGTCGTGACACCGACGTCGTAAAAGCCCCAGCAGCATATGCTGCAGCCTGAGGCACGTTCTCCGCTTCAGGAACCACTGAGTCGTCAAACAGTCGGGATCAAACATTCACCCGTCGGGACGAGGCAGCTCCTCCTGTGGCCCCCAGCTAAAAATGCAGCTTTTGTAATTGACGTTGGTGGGAGACACCAACTCGTTTATTCCTTGACTGCCCTCCTACGTTGCACAATAAAAAAAGGCAGTGGTTCTCAAAGTGGGGGGCGGACCCCCAACAGGGACAGTCAAAGTGATTTCAGTTTAACTGTTGTTCGTTCCGAGGTTCCAGTGTAAAAACATCTCAAAGGACATTTTACAAAATAAGAGCAAAATCAACAAAGTGGGTTACATGGCTGCCTTACAGCGATGAGGTCGCCTGTTCAAGCGCTGTGGCAACTGACGGTCTTTTCTTCAGGTACTCCCAGTTTTTTTCCCATGGTACAAACACATGCAGATCAGGTTAATGCCTCACAACAAACAGGTGTGAATGGTTCCTGTAGGTGGCGCTGTGACAGACTAATGAACTAAAAAACACGGCATAAAAGGTAGATTTAAATGTTATTTATTTTATTTGTCATTTCATCTGAAGTCGACTCACAATTATTTTCTACAAACACAAACAGCTGTCATCTGAAGTCGACTCACAATTATTTTTTACAAACACAAACAGCTGCAGAGTAACAGCACACAGTAACAGCACAGTGTAACAGCACAGTAACAGCACAGTAACAGCACAGTCAGTAACAGCGGCTGTAGAAATGTTCTGTAGACAAACACACACCGACCTGCAGGTTCTTGTTTGTTGTGTAATTAAGATCTGCGTGTGATTATGAACCTCCTCAGGTGATTAATTGTCATATTTACACTGTCTCTCTGTGTGTGTGTGTGTGTGTGTGTGTGATGACAAAGACAGAGGCTGTGCTACAGTTCAGGGGCGTGTCGTTATCCGCCTGTCAGTTGCATAATCAAACATTCATTCCTCGTGCCAAAACGTCTGAGAGCCGTAAACATGAATTATCTCCTTCTCTCTGCGTCTGGAAATGAAGACGTGTCGGATGAACTCCGTCAACCCAGACGTCCTCACCGACAATAAGGTTCTAACACTAACTCTGATTGGACAGAAATCATCATCATTAATTAACCTAATTAAGACACACCTTTAATCACCTCACCTCGTTAGAGTGAGAGTCGACCTGAACTCAAACAGAAACTCTGTGTCAGTTCCTGGGACCAACTTAAAAACCACCGTGAAAAACCACCTGCCTCCCTGATATATTCACCTGGTCTCCATCAGCTTCACACTCCAGCTACAGACTACAGCTTCAGACTCCAGCTACAGACTACAGCGACAGACTACAGCTACAGCCTACAACTACCGACTACAACTACAGACTACAGCTTCAGACTACAGCTACAGCCTACAACTACCGACTACAACTACAGACTACAGCTTCAGACTAGACGCTTCACACCACAGCTACAGCAGCTACAGACTACAGCTTCAGACTACAACTACAGACTACAGCTACAGACAACAGCTTCAGACTAGAAGCTTCAGACTACAGCTACAGACAACAGCTTCAGACTAGAAGCTTCAGACTACAGCTACAGACAACAGCTTCAGACTAGAAGCTTCAGACTACAGCTACAGCCTACAACTACCGACTACAACTACAGACTACAGCTTCAGACTACAGCTACAGCCTACAACTACCGACTACAACTACAGACTACAGCTTCAGACTCCAGCTACAGACTCCCAGAGACTCAGAGACTCACCTCGCGGTGTTTCCACTGCAGCTCTGAGTCCGAGACAAAACAAAAGACCAAAACCAGAGGTGAGTCAGACTCTGTCCCGTCTGCACTGTTTGCACCTTGAGTAAATAGTAATAATGGACGACGTCCTGTTAACACTGAGGTCAAAGGTCAGATCACTGGTCTGTTTCTAATGCGTGAGGTCAAAGGTCAGAGTAGGAGCACAGCCTTGTTGTTGTTGTTGTCTTTGTTGTTGTTGTTTTCTTTCATTTTGGCTCAGTTCTAATTACGGCCCAGAGTATGAGAATTAGTGACATCTGATGGACAAAATGCAGATTACATGAAGTGAAAAAAAAAAATCAAGTATTTTCTTAGTTTTCATGACTTTTTAAAAAATAAGATTATAGAAATGACAACACAAGATGGCGCTCAATTCCTTCATATTAGAAAAATAAACTCATCAAAAACCAAAAACTTTACAATAACACATTTTAAGGCTAAATAATTCATATTATTATACATGACAGAAGTGAATCCACGTGCACAGACCTGAGGAACCAGTTCACCTGAACCTCGTCCAGTTATAATCAGTTTAATTATTTGCAGCTGTTCATTCATGAGGCCCAGAATGTCGAACAAATGAGATTCAAATTTGTCTGGAACGTCAATAACCTCAGTCTCTTTAATGTTGTCCAGAAAAAAAAAAAAACAAACAAAATCCCTAAACACTTTACTTTATTTCTTTGACCTTTTTATAAAAGTTTAAATTTTAATTTAAATTTTCTTAAATGCCTCTCCCATCATACTTTAAACCAACACCACGTTTATTTGGCCAAAACCTTTATCTTAGCGTCTGATTGGACCAGGATTGAAGTTTGATTTAAGGCAGTATTTCTTGGTCTGAATCTTTAAAGGTCATAAATGATGAGCTTTAAGATTATTTTATTAATTTTTACTCCATTTTTTTTCAACACATTTTCCAAACCTGATCCTTTGGTCTTGATTTTGTATTTTAGTCCAGTTTTTTTTTTTTCCAAATTTACTTCATGGCCACAATAAATCTTTCAATGGACCAAGGTTGATCCCCGAGCCAGACTTTGCTTTTTTCTTTTGCTTTTTTCTTTTTTTTTTTTAAATACATACAGTCAAAAAACAGCCAGTACAGTGGACTTCTATAGGTGGTAACACCCCCCCCCCCCCACCCCCACACACACACATACACGGTCTCCCTCTGCCTCTCACATAAGGATCCTATAAAGTATCTGCGGTTATGGTCGATCCGCGCATGTGCAGTAGAGCAGCGCGTGTGTATGTGTGGTAGTATTATTATTGTGAATGGGGGAGGGGGAGGAGGAGGAAGAGGAGGAGGCGGTATTTTGGGTGTACAGTCACAAGAGCGACTCGACGGAGCCAGGAAGTAGACTGTTGGTGCCTTCAAGTACTTTCCAAACTGCCGAAATTTTGAAATATGACCAAAAAAAAAAGCGTTGAAGGAAAACACAAAGAAAACGGAGCAGGGAGGATCTGAGGCCTCGGCCTAGAAGAGACAGAAAAACCTCCCGACACTTCACGTTCAATCACTTTTTATTATCGTAACGCGAGGATTTGACGTTAAAAAAAATTAAAACAAAAACAAAAACAAACAAATATAATCAGGTCTGGGAAGAAACTGATTTTTCTGATGTCGGTGCGTAAAAAAAAAAAAAAATCCACGACTTTGTGTCAAAAACAGTTGAAAGATGCTGTCGTCGTGTCGTGACGTTTGTTGTGACGTTGACTTCGTACCTGGAGGCGCCGGAAAAGTTTCAGGTACGGACGTTAAAAATGACAAAGACGCCGAGAGGAGCGCGCGGCTGTGGCCACTTGACTTTACACACGGGATAAAGGGGAGAAAGAAAGCGGGAGAGGGAGGTAGAGACACTTGGGAGTAAGAAGGAGAGAGAGAGAGAGAGAGAGAGGAAGGGGGGGGAGAAAGGGGGAGGGAAGAAGGAAAGGAAGGAGGAGAGAGAGGGAGGAGAGAAACACGGTCAAATTGAGCTTTATCTCTCGCGGTTGGTCACTTAATAAGAGCCATTTGGAGCCAGAGGAGCCCGAGCATTAAGATAAGAGCAGCAGCAGCAGCAGCAACAGCAGCAGCAACATTGCTTCACACAGGGAGGAACTACACACACACACACACACACACAGAAAGAGAGACACGGAAGAGAGGCAGAGAGAGAGAGAGAGAGAGAGAGACGCCCGGTCACAGAGACACAGTGTAACTTCTTCACTGTGTTGGAGATTTAAACCCGGTTAAAACGTCAATAAATAAAGAAGAGACGGAGGAGGGAAAAACGAGAGTCTGAAATTAAAGAAGAAACGGAGTGAAAGACGTGAAGAAAGAGAAGAAAAAGAAGAAGAAGAAGAGACTCTGGTGCTGCTGAAGATGCCGCGGGTAGTTCCGGACCAAAAAAGCAAGTTTGACAATGAGGAGTTTTTCCGCAAGTTGAGCAGAGAGTGTGAGGGGAGTGTGTTTCTGTGCTCCATTCACACACCCACACACACACACACACACACACGGACCCAGACAGAAACAAAAAGACAGACAAAAACACACACAGAGAGGCAGACAGAGACAGACAGACATGAGAGAAAAATGTGACGAGACTTCACTGACCTGGTCTCTGGTTCCAGACCTGGTCTCTGGTTCTAGACCTGGTTTCTGGTCCAGACCTTCAGTCACTGTCGTGATTAAAACACTGAAATAATTGGATTTGTACTGAAACTGATTTGATTTAGAAAAGGAAAAAAAATAAACATTTTTAAACGGTCTATTATTTAGAAGAACCAATCAAAGTTCACTAAGGTTTAAATATAAAATATCCAAAGATTTCCTTCTTAATTCAATTCTCTTCTTTTTTTAAAATCAAATATTCCTGGGCTGGTTTATGAAGAGTTGCAAGTAAAAATATATAAAAATAATCATTCTGAAATTTGAGAGCAGAAACAACCGTTAATTATTATAAATGATGGTAAATGAATGTTGACAGATGTAAACAGGCTGGAGTCGGCCTCAGGCTTCAAACTTTCAGAATCAAAGATGAAATCTAAGATTTATCTTTTCAGATTTGTGAGGAAACTTTGATCTGTCACATGTGAGAGTTATTAAATTACACACAGATATATGAGTTATTTGTCCCATCGTGTCGTCAGATGAGACAAAGACGGCGTTGACAGTCAGAATGTTTCTGTACAACGTGGTGAAATGAGAGAAACTTCACCCAAAGAACACCGTCCTCACGGTGGTGGTTCGTGTTAGGGTGTCCAGTTAACTGAAGTTCAGCCTGAAAATTTAAATTTATATTTTATAAAAATCAGTGGGAAAAAAACCTAAAAGTGCCTCAAACTATGTAGAGAATATATTTATAATTTTGAACTTAATCTCAGTTCAATTTCCCTTTGATGATAAATAATGACAAATAAAAATCATATTCTAACAAAAGCAGCTTCTCTGCTCTTCATGTGACCAAAACCTGAACTGAATTTTGAGATTTTTTTTTTTTTTTACTATTTTCACTCATTAATGCTGGTTGCTGTGAGCTGCCAAACAACATTTCATTGTGCAGAGCCACAGTGACAACACAGTCTATTCTGTTCTGTTCTATGAATCAGTCTGTGATCAGTGAGTTAATCAGCAGAAAATTGTCACGTGGCGTTCGAGGAGCGTCAGTGTTTGTTGTCAAAGATGAAGAGTGAAGATGAAGAGCGGGTGAAAATGTCTTCAAACCTGTGATGATTAATTCTGTTGGTTTGACATTTTCATTAGACGTAGAATGAGTCAAATAGAACTTGAATCTCTCAAAACTAGAACTGTGTTAAATAGAAGTAACACTAATAATGAATTTTTTTTTTTTTAAACTTTAACCACGTCTGTTTTGGATTGAAACCCTGACTTGTTTCTGTTTCTGCTCTTTAACTTCATGTAAAGTCCGTCTCTGTTTTGCACTTTTCCTCTCGTCGTAAATGTTCAAATAAAAAACAAAACAAACAAAGAAAAGATGCCCCCCCCCCCGACATTAAAATTCCTGTGGCTTATCTTCAGATTGCAGCTTACTGCTGGATGAGAGCGAGTGTGTGTTTTCACACACACACACACACACACACACACACAGTCAGTTTGACGGCCTCTCGGTGCAAACACACGTTGAATGAATCTGAAGCTAAAAACCAAACGATGATTTGATGCAGTTTTTAAATCCAGAAAATATCAATGAACCTGAGGAAACGTGGTGAGGTTTTTCTTGAACCTTTAAACAACCACGTGTGGGAAGTTCAAGTTCAAAAACCCAGAGATTTGTGCAGAACAAAAAGAATCCAAAAAAAAACCCCTGACGATGAAGCTGCTGAAATCACAGTAAACATTTTGTCTTCATTTTGTTGATGGAACAGATCATGTCCTGTTTCCTGTTGTTGTTTATTTACTGTTGACGTTTCCGACCAGATCAAATACACCGGCTTCAGAGACCGACCCCATGACGAGAGACAAACTCGCTTCCAGAACGCCTGCAGGGACGGACGGTCAGAAGTGGTGAGTACCAAAACCTTTTATTATTATTATTATTATTATTTTTTTCATGACAAAAAAGTTGCAACACCAAAAAAAAAGAAAAAATACGTGTAATGAAATATAACGATATTCAGGTTTGAAAACACTCCCAGTTAATTTAGTTGAACAGGATCCTGATGAAGTCACAGGAGTTGAAGATACTGACGTCGTCTTCAACTCCTTCTGATTATTTTGGTTTTTAGTTTAATCTGCTGCCACCTAGCAGAAGGAAAAGCAGTTGTTCTTCCTGTCACAGTAAACGTGTTTATTCATTGGAGTAAATTTTTCTGACTCTGAACTGAAGAATTGAACGACGTCAGTGAAACTCAGATCTGACGGTGATTCCAGACAATTGTCTGGTAATTATTATAATTATTGCAATTATTCCGATGATGTCATTAGACATTTTGTCCAGTCAGTGTGGAACAAATTATGTAAATTGTCAGTTAGGCTGTGCAAAATATAAGGTTTTTGGTTTTTGTCCTCGGACTAAAGATATTTGGTAGTTAATAAAACTGGCCTTAAAACAACATCATAGTCAGTCCAAACTAAGAAGGTAAAACTAGCAAAATTATTCAAATTTATTGAACTGATTATTATTATTTATAATATTATTGTATATATTAAATATATATATAAATATGTAATATATATATAAATATATACATATATAAATATTTGTATGGATAAAAGTAATTTTTCACAACTTTCTTTCTTTACATTGAGTTTCTCACTTCATATTAGAGCTCCCTTGGCTCGTGTGTGTGTGTGAGTGTGTGTGTGTGTGAGTGTATGTGTGTGTGTGTTGATGTGCCTCTGCAGCAGGAAGTCGACGTGTTATCAGACGTGCAGAACCTTTACACTCGTCTTCACTCTTCCTTCCGCAGCTGCCGTCGTCGCCGTCACGTTGCCGACCGGCGCTTGAACGTTCGCTCACGCTCAACATCCTTTAGGCTGTAATTTGGTGGATTTAAAAACCAGGTCGCGTCAAGTAAATATCACCTGTCATGTTTATGATGAGTGCGTAAACAGACGTGAGTGAAGACGGAGGCACAATTTAGATTTCATGATTCCACTGCATTCAAAATCAAGGGGAAAACAGAAAAGAAAAGGTAGACAGAGGGCAGCATCGAACCACCAACCTTTTACTGGTTTAATCCAATTTACATTTAATTATTTTTAAATTCCAGCACAGCTCTGGTGCACGAAGGTGTCACAGACCCTCGAGCTGCTGCAGGACCGTGTGTCCACAGACCTGACAGGGACAGAGCTGCAGGTCAATGGACAGAACTGCAGTTTTCTATTCATCCACTTTAGGGACCGCGGTCACATTAAACAGAACTTACCTGTGTTTGACCTCTGTGACCCCCAGGCAGGTCACAGCACATTACTGAAAAATCTGCTTTAAAAAAAATAAATAAAAAAAAAAAGGTCCCCAAATTGTGTCCTTGTTGAAAGGAGGAAGAGGAAATACCTCCAGGCCACGGGGGTAAAAACACACACACACATAAACACACACACACAAACACATGACAGATTTTCCTCTGTGTGTGTTAGTCATCGAAGAAGTGTTTTTCACAAACATGTTGTCATCGTTTCAGACGATGGAGCGACTCCTTAGAGTCTCCTTTAACTGTCCACAGTGGGACATGATGTGTCTCCCTGTCTGTCTGACTCTCTGTCCATCTGTCTGTCTGTCTGTCTTCCGTTTGTCGCTCTGTCTGTCCGTTTGTCCATCCGTCTGTCTCTCTGTCCGTCCGTCCATCTGTCCGTCTGTCTGTCCGTCTGTCCGTCCGTCTGTCTCTGTCTGTCTGTCCGTCCGTCTGTCTGTCTGTCCGTCCGTCTGTCTGTCCGTCTGTCTGTCTTCCGTCCGTCCGTCTCTGCTGTGCTGCCGTTTTAATGGTTTAACGGCAGCTGTGACATCAGGCGGCTGATTTAACTGCCGTCCAGACGACGCTAAAGACTTCGCCGGCTATTTTCACATGCTCTCTGTGAGGGAGGTCCTTATACACGTGCACGTGCACACACATACACACACATACACACGCACATACATACACACAAACATAGAAGGATGTTTCTGTGATAGTTTCTGTGATAGTGTCAACAGAAAGTTCCATGATTAGCTTAGCCCGTCTTAGCATCTTTGGGCTACTTTGGGCTGTATTTCGGGGCAGTTCATACATGGTTTGAGTTACCTGCAGTAACTAGTCACTACTAACTAGTGAACTAACTGGTAAACTGGCTGCTAGTTTTTTATATATTTTAAAGTTTCAGGAATATTGAAGTACGACTCTGGCTTTTTATTGGTCAACTTTTCTGGTTGTCATTTGAATTTGTTGGATTCTTTTTGCTGTAAACTTTAGCTAACAGCTAGCTCTGTTCCAGCTAACTGAGATATTATTGTTATGTTCTGGTCAACTTTAGGATCCATTAGAGCTTTTTTTTATTTTATTTTACTCAGTGTTTCCAGTGAATGTCTAATAACAGGAAAGGTAATTTGAAAATATTTTTAGTTACGTTTCCCGACATTTGTTGTTTTTTTTTCTTCTCCATTTCACCTCCTTAATTGTCTGGTGTGTCGGAGGTGAAGCCTTGAGAAAACTAAAAAGTGCCACAGACGTTGTTTTGCTGACTGTATAATTCACAGTAGTAATAAAAACCCCCGTGGTGGAATTTCAAGGGCAGTTCCAGCTCAGTGACTGGAGGTGTTGTCGTCCACACTGAAGCTGACCCTGATCCACTGTCTCTAAAATGTTGCTTTGAATAAAAACAAGAAAACAAGATTAGTTTGATTTCAAAAACAGCTTAAAAATATGAAAAACAATAAAGTAAAGTCGTTTTCTCACACACACACACACTCACACACACACACACTCTCTCTCTCGTGCTGTGGTTGAACTCACTCTAAAATGTTCACGATTGATTTGATAAATGAGACAATAATTCAAAGTAAATTTTCTTCAGCTCAGCTCATTAGAGATGAGTCATTTTCTAAACTATTATTGATTTCCATGCTGCGCTGACTCCCCCCTCTCTCTGCCTCCCCCTCTCTCTGCCCCCCCCCCTCCCTCTCTGTTTACTTCTTTTTTTTCATTCCTTTTCTTTGTTTCTGTCCCTCCGTTGTCCTCTGTCTCTCTCTTCCAGTTTGTCTCATTCCTCCTCCTCCTTCCTTTTTCTCGGCCGTTTCCTTCCGTCTCCATCGTCTTTCCTCCTAACATTTTGCCCGGCCTCCTCCTCCTCTTCCTCCTCCTTCTTTGTCCCTCAGTTCCTCCTCCTCTTCTTCCTCCTCTTCCTCCTCTCCTCTTCTCTCCAGCAGTAGTAGGCAGTAAATCGGTATCAGATGGTTGTAATCCAATACTTCAAATCCAGCAGAAATGATGACTCTGGTGTTCTCTGAGCCCTCGTTTCCCTGTGTGTGTCTGTGTGTGTCTGTATATATGTGTGTATTATAGGTGTGTGTCCATATACACACATACCAATTTTGGTTTTCTCCAGCCGCAGATCTTTTTCTTATTGCTTTAATTTTTCTGTCCGTCTTTCCTTTCCTTCTTTCTCTCATTCTGTCTTTTTTCTTTTCCTTCCTTCTTTTCTTCCTTCCTTCCTTCCTTCCTTCCTTTCTTCCTTCCTTCCTTCCTTCCTTCCCTTCTTTTTTCCTTTCTTCCTTCCTTCCTTCCTTCTTTTCTTCCTTCCTCCCTTCCTTCCTTCCTTCCTTCCTTCCTTCATTCCCTCCTTCTTTCCTTCCTTCCTTCCTTCCTTCCTTCCATCCTTCCTTCCTTCCTTCCTTCCTTCCCTTCTTTTTTCCTTTCTTCCTTCCTTCCTTCCTTCCTTCCCTTCTTTTTTCCTTTCTTCCTTCCTTCCTTCCTTCCTTCCTTCCTTCCCTCCTTTTTTCCTTCCTTCCTTCCATCCTTCCTTCCTTCCTTCCTTCCTTCCCTCCTTTTTTCCTTCCTTCCTTCCATCCTTCCTTCCTTCCTTCCTTCCTTCCTTTCTTCCTTCCTTCCTTCCTTCTTTTCTTCCTTCCTTCCTTCCTTCCTTCCCTTCTTTTTTCCTTTCTTCCTTCCTTCCTTCCTTCCTTCCCTCCTTTTTTCCTTCCTTCCTTCCATCCTTCCTTCCTTCCTTCCTTCCTTCCTCCCTTCCTTCCTTCCTTCCTCTGTCTCACACTGATGATGAACACATTTGATCCTTTACATAATTCATGCTCTTCCAGCCTCCAGTCGCAGAACTGATGTCTTTAGTATCGATCTGTCCCAGTGAACACCGCAGACACAAAGACAAAGACAAAAAAACAACAAAAAAACAAAAAACACTCGTGCATAAAAAACAAACAAAAAAACAAAACCCGACTCATTTCTAACTTAATTTTCTGTCTGGCCATAAGTCAGTGTTTTCTGAGTGCAGTGGAGAAATACATTCTGTTGATTTAAATTTGATTTGTGTTCTGAGTGTGTGTGTGTGTGTGTGTGTTGTTCACTTGGTGTTTTTGCTTTGAGCAATGAAATGGTTTGAATAAGAACAAAAGAAACTGAATGTGGGAGAAATAAAATTTAAAAAAAAGAAAAATTGTTCATAAATTTAACAAGAAAGTTGACTTTTTTTTTACAATTATAGCATGAAAACAAGGATTTAAAAAAAAGAAACAAGTTCTTTATTTGGTCTAACTGACATTGAAGGCCCTGCAGGTGCATGCTGGGAGATTAGATGGTATTTCAGGCTTAATGCACTTAAGTGGAACAAACCAATTTTTTTCACCGTGTGCAAATAACCGTGTTAGAGCGACAGTAAGTGGATGAACTGTGGAACTGGAAGAAATAAATCAAATAAAAATCTAGTCCCAGTAGGACATACGGCTGGACCAAATCTGGCCCACGGGCCGGATGTTTGGGTCCCTGTCCTTGAGTTAATGACTCAAACTGATGACGGTGCCTTAAAAGCTCTGAGTTGATGTTGAAGTTTCTAAACTTTCACATCGTTCTTCATCAGATTGACTCAAAAAAAACACAGAATGATAAAAGTCTATCGCTCCATTTACATCACGGTGGATAAAGAAATTATGGGATGGCCAGGCCGCTGCTCTTTACATCCACTTTAGTGTCCGTCGAGCCACGATCGACTGTCGGATTACTGCAGTAAGTGTTTCCTTGAAGATTATTCACAACTGACCCTCTCTCTCTCTCTGCCTCTCTCTCTGTCTCTCTCTGTCTCTCTCTCTCGTTCTCTCTCCAGGCCTTTGTAGCGACAGGTACCAACCTCTCGCTCCAGTTCTTCCCGGCCAACCTGCACGGAGATCAGCGACAGGTTCCGACGCGGGAATATGTTGATTTCGAGAGGGAAATAGGAAAGGTAGGACCACAGCAGCGCTCACAGACTAGAACCAACGATCACAGAACCAACGATCACTGTTGAGGGATGCTAGCAAAAACACAGCATGCTAACGTAGCCACATGAAATCCTTAAAGGTTTTTTAAATAGATTAGTGTTAAATGTTGTCTAAATGTTTAACTGACGACAGTTGAACCAGAGAATCAGATTAAATCTAATCTGGTTCATTTCCCATGAAGTCATTGATTCCTGTCTGTCTGGGTTTGAAGAGATCCTGGATTATTTCAGCGTCATCACAGTCACACAAGAAAGTTTGACAGAGAAAAAAAAAAAACTTCTTCAAATTTTGCAGAAATACATACTTCCTCACCGACTTCTTTTTTTCGGTTCCTCTTTCATTTTTTACTGATGTTCATTCTTTATGAAACAACAACAGTTGTAGTTTTTGCTCTGATGTTTTTGAAGACAGAACTGAAATCATCACTTTCAAAGACAGACTTGTGTTTTTTTTGTTAATATCAGACCAGGAGGCGGTGGTGAAGACATTTGGACTTTTCTAAAAAAAAGTCATTACTAAATATCAAGATCAACTTTTTTTGGAGGATCAAACTTATATCCATTTTCAGGAGTGGGTTTGGCTCGGCGGGAAAACTAGTTCCTCTTTCACTGAGAGGTCGTAGGTTTTTAATCCGACCGCGTGCACGTGTGTACTTTGGCACGTGAAAACCTCCAGGTTGACCACCGTGAGCAGCAGAGAGCCAGTGTCGAAAAGAGAAAAGATCAAACCAAACCTGGTCATTTTTTTTTTCTATCTCCTTCTTTCATATTCTTACTTTATTCACTGCAGCAGACAAACAGCGCCACCTGTGTTTTTATGCAGTAACACATTCACTTTCAACCAGTATTTTAAACCAGGTCTTCACATGTTTCGTCTTCGTCTCCTCGTCATCGATCAACACTTTCCTCCACCAACATTCAGCCACTGTTTGAATCAACTGTTGACAGTTGGATGTGTGTGTGTTCACTGCAGGATGAAACAAACAAACAAACAAACAAACAAACAAAAGAAAAGTTTAATCCCAGTTAAACTTAAACATTAAACCTGTGAGACAAATTCTGTCTCACGTCGTCGTCGTCGTCGTGGTGGTGGTCGTACAGTAGAGCTGCTTCACCAAGTACGGCTGTGTTTGTGTATGTTAATTGTCTCCCCTGGCGCAGTGTGTGTGTGTGTGTGTGTGTGTGTGTCAGAAGGTCCTGCACGGACAGTGGCCAGCTGAAACGAATGCCGTCTGGCAGCTCATTAAAAATGCATTCTGGGGAATCGATGGACCTGCTGGCCCTGAAGGCTGACGGACTAATCTCACACACCGTTAATTATTTAGAGCGAGTGTCCTGATAGGTGGGGATGGGTATGAGTGTTTAGTGCGTGGCACAAGAAATGCATGTGTGTGGTATGTGTGTGTGTGTGTGTGTGTGTGTGTGTTGGTTTTAATGAGACTAAAAGTTTAATGGCTCTGTAGAACTAAAGACAAAGGCAAACACACACACACACACACACACACACACAGCTTACATTTTAAACCACTCTTTCTCATTAGCATTGGACACTTTAGTTTAGCATTTGAGTTCACGGTTTAGCTTCTGGTTGTAGCATTTTAGCCTTTACTGTAGAGAAGAATCTCTCTTTTTATTTATTTAGCATCTTAGCCTTGAGTTAGCTTCAAAGTTGAATGATTCAGCCTTTGGTTTAGCGTTTTATTTTCAATTTATGATTTCAACCATTAGCATACCACTCTACTATTTAGCATTTTAGCGTTACTTTAGCCTCGCTCTCTTCACTTTAGCATTTTAGCATGTCTTTAGCCTCTGGTTTTTCGTTGGTTTCTTTGGTTCAACATTTAGTTCAGTCCCTCATTACAGTTTAGCGTGACAGTCTTTTTTTTCTTGCCATTTCTTTCTACAGTTTTACATTTTTATTTTGAGTTTACCACCTTAGCATTCAGTTAGCCTTTCTCCTTAGGTTTTTTTTGGCCTTCGGGTTAGCATTTGTCTCGTTCAGTTTAGCATTTGGGCCTTTAGGTTTTAGTTTGTTTCGTTGTTTTTTTGTTTTTGTTTTTTTCAGATTAGGATTTTAGACTTCACTGAAGCTTTTAATTTCACTCTGTTTTTTTTTTTATATTCAATGTTTAAAAAGACAGTGTTCACGCGGCAGCAGTTCTTCATCAGGATTCGACCTTTAATTTATACTCACGGCCCTGTTAGCGCTGGTGTCCCCTGTAGAATTCAACTGTCAGGCCACAGTAGAAATCTTGGCTACGATGCAACTTCTTCCCTTAATTACTGTCACTAACCACACAAACAAACACACACACACACACGCAGGGAAAGACAGCAACATGCATTTTTTAATTGAAACTACAAAAGCATATGTTTAAAAAATGCTTTTATTATTTTAAAGAAATTTAACCTTTATTTTTATATAAACCTCATATTTTCTATACCAAACTGACCAGCAGAAATGGAAAAAAATTCAAATGTACGCATTTAGGTTTTTGTCCTTTGCATATTTTTTTTTTTTTTAAAGACAAAGCCGGACTGTTAAAGGAAACACAACAGAGTTGTTTTTCCGTTTCCTTCTTTTATTTCCGGGCCTTTCTTTTATTCCTCTCCCAGCGGTTGTTGTTTTATTTGAACGTGTCTCTTTCCCCCTCTCTCGTCCTCTTCTTCATCCTCCGTCCTGCCACTCCCTCTCCTGATCTTCTCCTCCCTCATTCGCCCTCATCCTCGCTCCATCTGCTTCGCCTCTTCTTTTCCTCCTTCTTGCCCGCCTCCATTTCCAAACACAGACTGTGCCAAACCAAAAAGAGTAGCACAGCCAGGTTAAACTTGGCGGCTAAATTTAATGTGTGTGTGTGTGTGTGTGTGTGTGTGATGAGGGGGGATGCGAAGAAGGAAAGGGAGAAAGAGACCAGAAGTACAGGCTTTTAGTGTTGCAGGCTAATGGGAGCCAGCTGTGGCCGTGGTTATTTTAGAGCTAGCTGCTGCCGCCGCCCTTTCCGGTTGTTGCTGGTGCGCTCTTGGG